GGGCAGCTTTTTATACTGCTGGGGACAGCACAGGTGCTGGCCCTGGGCTCTAGCTCCCCCTGGCTGCAGATCTGGGAGGAGTCAGGCAGGATTATTTTGCCCCAAGTGGCACAATTTGCTCCACACCCAAGTGCATGTCCAAGCACATGCACTGAAGCAAAAAGCCCAGGGGGCACATCCACACTTGCAAGCACGTGCGCTTGCAGCAGCTCAAATAGAAGCAGTGCAACTTTGAGCTGGGGCTTTTTGCCTCAACGCACATGCTTGGACATGCACTTTGGTGTGGAGCAAATTGTGCCACTTGGGGCAAAATAATCCTGCCTGACTCCTCCCAGATCTGCAGCCAGGGGGAGCTAGAGCCCAGGGCCAGCACCTGTGCTGTCCCCAGCAGTATAAAAAGCTGCCCCGTCCTGGCCCCAGCAGTACAAAAAGCTGCCCTAGCAAGTAGCTCAGGGCTACTCACTCTCAGGAGCTTCTGGGGCCCAGTCAATTGGTACCTGGGGACACTACCCCTTGTGCCAGTTGGACTTCCCCTCTGGGTCAGCTGCCAGTGGGCTGTGGCTGCACGGTTGGCCTTTGTGCAGCACTACTGCCGTGTGTGCCCCCTGCCTGGCAATCTGGGCAGCTATCGCCCGGAAGATGTTCCAGGTGTGGTGGCTTACTTTGAACTGTCAAAGCATGTGCTCCTGGCCCCATTTGGCCAGGAGGTCAACCACAGCCAGCTGGGTCCAAGGTGCCAGCTTTGAGCAAGCAGGGTCCTGCCACTGGCCTCCCTAGCAGGAAGTCTGGTGTTCCCTATTGGAAAACTGAAAAAACCCTGATAAAAAAAAATCCCAAAGTCACTCTATAAAATACCCTGACATCCACGTTCCTCCACAATTAAAACAAAAGACCACTATATATAGAAAGAGAGAGTGAGAGACATCAATCAGCTGGGCATGTTTTATTGATATATCTACAGTGTTAAAGTGTAAATTTGGAAGACTACCAGTGTCACTATCATAATAATACAGTGAATTCTAAATACATGTTTCATGAATTCATGAATACATGAATTTACGTTTTACTCCTCAGGGGCCATGGCCTCCCATAGGGATTACTGCCCCCCCTCAGGGGCCACGGTCTCCCCACAGGGGTAACAGCCCCCCATCAGGAGTAACAGCTCCCCCACAGGGGCTACGGCACTCCACAGGGGCCATGGCCCCCCCACAGGGGTTAGAGCCCCCCTAACAGGGGTCAGATGGTCCCTGCAGGAGTTCCCACCCCCCCTGCAGGGCCGACATGCCCCACCCTAGCCCCTTGATTGCTGCCCCACCTGGCCCCATCCCCTGCCAGCTGCTGCAGCCCCCCAATGGTTGCCCTGCTTAGCCTCACCCCCCAACTTGCACCCCCAGGCCCCCATGGCTACTCCCACAACCCCAGGCACCATCACTTAAAAAAACCCCAAAATAAAGAAAAAAAATAAAACAGAAAAAAAAACTGGAAAAAAAAGCCTCTACTTACCTTAGAAGCTGGGATGGAGGGGCTCCAGGGCCTCCTGGCAGAGCCCTCCCATGAAGACAGGGCAGTGGGTGCAGGAGGGCCTGGGCTGGGGCTGCTGGGGCAGTCCCTCTGCCCCTCACTGTGTAGGCAGGGCCCCAGCCAGCCA